AGACATGCTGCTTGCCATAGCGGTATAGGTACATAGAATGTCTCCCACCCTACAGGAAGTTGAGCTTGTCTGACCTATCCGGAGCTGGGTCTGAGCACACTCTCTGCCCGGGAAGCCATAGATGTATAGTCATAGGACACCCCCGACCCCAGACCTACTATGCACAATGAGGCTGACCCTCGTTCTCTGCCTGGAAGGCTCAGCTTGTCATCGCTGTATAGCTACATAGAATGGTGACTCCACCACCACCATGGACACTGAGCTTGTGCCCCCTCCTCTGCCCAGGTGACTTGCCCACTTGTCATAGCTGTGTACATACGTAGAATGGTAACGGGTCCTTGTGTACAATGTATTTAGCTGCTTTTTGTGTTTTCTTCTCCTCTCAGGACCTCCAACATCCGAACGAGTTTATCCGCGGCTCCACCCTGCGTTTCCTGTGTAAGCTGAAGGAAGCGGAACTGCTGGAGCCCCTAATGCCGGCCATCCGGGCGTGCCTGGAGCACCGCCACAGTTATGTGAGACGGAACGCTGTGCTGGCCATTTATACCATATACAGGTGAGACTAGTGATGCCCGACTCCTCCCCTCGGGGGCGGAGCTTCCCGCCGATACCTTTCCCGATATTTTGGTCCTATAATACAGTATTGCACTGACATCTCAGGAAGGGCTTCGTGTTCTGGCTGGAGGTTTGGTCTCTGAATTTCGGAAAGACGTGTAATGTGTGTGGCCTGCTGGAGACCACCCCGGGCTATTAAAGAGGGCCTGTCCCGCAGCAAGATTGACATTTATCTCCCCGTTATTCTAGAAACTTTGAGCATCTCATCCCCGATGCCCCGGAGCTCATCCACGACTTCCTGGTGAACGAGAAGGACGCCAGCTGCAAGAGGAACGCTTTCATGATGCTGATACACGCAGACCAGGTATGATGGCCTGACATTAAAGAGACCCCGTCACCAGACAACAATGTTTTTGTATATAATATATTTCATTTATTTAATGTCTATTTGGCTGTAAAAGCCCGGTGGAAAAGTAAAGGGACCACACACAGTGACTCTGGGGGTGGGGACTGAATGCAGGGACCCATGGGGTCATGGAAGAGCGAGGGGACAGCACATGGACCTTGCTGGGAAGAGGGGACTGCATGCAGGAACCCCTGGGGTGGGGGGAAGAGTGAAGGGACTGCACGTGTACCTTGCTGGGCGTGAGGTAGAGTAAGGGGACTGCATGCAGGGACCCCGGAGGGTTGGGGAAAAAGACATCCAAAATCTCTGAGACTGAGGCTTGATGCCTCCATCTTGCTTGTGATGACAACGGACGCTCTGTAGTATTCCCCTTCATTGCTCCCCCGGTAGCTACATAAAAAGTTATGTACAAAGGTAGAGGAGCTGGGGCTGCACGGACAGTAATTATACACTCCCAGAAGATGAGAAGGCCTTGGCATGCAAGTAGGGAGGGGGCTACGGCATGCAAGTAGGGAGGGGGCTGCGGCAAGCGAATTGGGAGAGACGCTCTGTAGTATTCCCCTTCATTGCTCCCCCGGTAGCTACATAAAAAGTTATGTACAAAGGTAGAGGAGCTGGGGCTGCACGGACAGTAATTATACACTCCCAGAAGATGAGAAGGCCTTGGCATGCAAGTAGGGAGGGGGCTACGGCATGCAAGTAGGGAGGGGGCTACGGCATGCAAGTAGGGAGGGGGGCTACGGCATGCAAGTAGGGAGGGGGGCTACGGCATGCAAGTAGGGAGGGGGCTGGGCTAGGGAATTTGACTCTTCCTGGAGTGGTCAGATTTTCTAGAATATTCAGAGGCAAGTGAATACAAAAATAATAATTTACAGAGAGGAAAAAACACGACAAGTCGGCATTTAAGATACTTGATACTTCAGCGCTCATTTTGTAAGTTGGCGGCAGAGTCCGTTTAACATACCTGCATGGCGGCATCTCCTGTCACGTTGCATCCCGCAGCACTAAACTGGCTGCCTGGTGAGGGCCTCAGACCTTGTAGAAGTGATTTGTCCTTTTTGTGTATATGGTGTCTGTGAACTTGTATCCGCTCCCTCCAGGACCGCGCTCTGGACTATCTGAGCACCTGCATAGATCAGGTCCACACCTTCGGGGACATATTACAGCTGGTCATCGTGGAGCTCATTTACAAGGTTAGTGTGAGAGACAAATCATCTGCATTATGTATATGTAGCTGGGTGAGGTGTTCTCTGCCACTCATGGTACTTCTTGGGATTGTCATCTATGTTAAAGGAGAACTATGAGGTGATTTTTCCCTCATCCTCGTAGTTGGAGCCGACGTGTGACAACGAGACTGTCACAGGTCGGCTCAATAGATCAGGAAGTGAGAGAACACATACTGTCGCTCGCTCACTTCTCTATCGTCTCCCTGCAGAGAGCCGTGACTGTCAGTCACAACTCCCTGCAGGGATTCCCCTCCTCCCCGCTCCGATCTTCCAGCGCTGACTGGCGAAACGGACGGGGGAGGGGGCGGGCACAGCTTGCTCTGCCTCTGGATAGGCAGTGCCAGCTGTCACTCACTCAGCTGGGTGGATACAGACAGTAATGTCCATGCCGGCTGCGGCGGTCTCAGTATACCGCGAGCTGTAGCTCCCTATATACCGAGCTTTGGGTGACGGGAGGACGCTAGTTTATGTCCTCCCGTTACCCTTAGGAGAACTGGGGGAAAACACTGACCCCGTAGTTCTCCTTTAAGCCCAGTGCTCATACCGACCTCCACTGCACTGACCATAGCAAATTGAACCTGTCGTAGAAATGAAAGTTTCTATTACTGATGTGTTTTTAAAGTTTGGGCCCCAAGTTATCATCCTGATCCTCGCTTCATTGCCTAGCTGGACACTGGCATGGAGCAAGTATGCAGCTGTTTTGGGCAATGGACTCCTTGAGTGGTGAATCTAGGATGGTGACTGAGACACTATCACTTTACCCATTCATGACAGTGGAAGTGGCTCTTGATGGCACCCCCTACCCCAGCATGGTATGCTCACTCATCCATTTGGGCTGTGGCCTGTTTTTGATGTAGTTCCGCATATTTATGTGGCAATGGTTTGGGGGGGGGGGGGGGGGGTGTATCCCCAAGACAAAAAGGGGCGAGGTCGGTCGGTGGGGGGGGGGGGGGGGGTGTAATTATCCCCTGAGAACCCCCTAATTATGTCTGCAATTGACTTCACTGTTTTTTAATATACAGTTGAACCTGACTACTGCAGTCTGACTGCTGTGGACAATGCGCACTTCCCTCTTCAATACGTCTGATTTTACTGTTTGAGATGCCTTGTCCAGTTAGTCAGTAGTTAATGGAGAACTATGGGGTCAGGGCTTTCCCCATAGTTCTCCTAAGGGTAACGGGAGGACACAAACTAGCGTCCTCCCGTCACCCTGAGCTCAGTATATTGCAGGCTACAGCTCGCGGTATACTGAGACGCCGCAGCTGAAGCGGATCCCGATAATTAGGTCTGCATCCGCCCAGCTGCGTGAGTGACAGCTGGCTCCGCCTATCTAGAGGCAGAGCCAGCTGTACCCGCCCCCTCCCCCATCCGTTCCGCCAGTCAGCGCTGGAGGATCTGAGCGGGGAGGGGGTGGAATCCAGCCCCTCCCCTGTCACGGCTCTCTGCTGCCACAGGATCGAGAAGTGAGCGAGCGCCGGTATGTGTTCACTCACTTCCGATCTATAGAGCCGACGTGTGACAGTCTCATTGTCGCAGGTCGGCTCAGATTATGAGGCCGAGTAAAAATCACCTCCTCATAGTTCTCCTTTTAAGGCGGATGTCACCGTCGGCGGTTATTTCAGATTCAACAAAAAGAAAAACCCACCATTGCGGTTCTGGAAAAGGCTGTTGTATGGAAGTTGCCGTGTCCGAGGTGTTTTATAGCAGAACTCACACCTCTGTCTTCTCCATCAGGTGTGTCATGCCAATCCCTCAGAGCGAGCTCGCTTCATCCGCTGTATCTTCAACCTCCTCCAGTCATCCAGTCCGGCCGTGAAATACGAAGCAGCTGGGACATTGGTCACACTATCCAGCGCTCCCACCGCTATCAAGGTAAACCCGATCAATCTATTCATCTGATCGGTCTCTGTGACAGGCTTGTTTTCATGCTAGTGTTGTGTTCTGGCCCCGCCCCCTCCTGCATGTTCCTTATTCACTATAATGCATCCATCATAGTGGCCTTACTTATTCCATGTGGGGCAGACGTTTCAGTGCTGAGGCCCGTACAGGAGTATTTGAATGCAGAGCTCACTTTAAACCGTCCTATGGCAGGTCGGGTCACTGTCTGCGTCTTATGTCCTCAGGCCGCCGCTCAGTGCTACATTGATCTGATCATTAAGGAGAGCGACAACAATGTCAAACTTATCGTTTTGGATCGTCTGGTGGAACTGAAGGACCATCCTTCCCATGAGCGTGTCCTGCAGGTAGCTGCCTGTGTTCTGTAGTTGTATTTCGAGCATTCCGCAGATGGGCGATAATGTGTGTGCTGAGTATTCAGACCATGGCTCCGCCTATCTAGAGGCAGAGCCAGCTGTACCCGCCCCCTCCCCCATCCGTTCCGCCAGTCAGCGCTGGAGGATCTGAGCGGGGAGGGGGTGGAATCCAGCCCCTCCCCTGTCACGGCTCTCTGCTGCCACAGGATCGAGAAGTGAGCGAGCGCCGGTATGTGTTCACTCACTTCCGATCTATAGAGCCGACGTGTGACAGTCTCATTGTCGCAGGTCGGCTCAGATTATGAGGCCGAGTAAAAATCACCTCCTCATAGTTCTCCTTTTAAGGCGGATGTCACCGTCGGCGGTTATTTCAGATTCAACAAAAAGAAAAACCCACCATTGCGGTTCTGGAAAAGGCTGTTGTATGGAAGTTGCCGTGTCCGAGGTGTTTTATAGCAGAACTCACACCTCTGTCTTCTCCATCAGGTGTGTCATGCCAATCCCTCAGAGCGAGCTCGCTTCATCCGCTGTATCTTCAACCTCCTCCAGTCATCCAGTCCGGCCGTGAAATACGAAGCAGCTGGGACATTGGTCACACTATCCAGCGCTCCCACCGCTATCAAGGTAAACCCGATCAATCTATTCATCTGATCGGTCTCTGTGACAGGCTTGTTTTCATGCTAGTGTTGTGTTCTGGCCCCGCCCCCTCCTGCATGTTCCTTATTCACTATAATGCATCCATCATAGTGGCCTTACTTATTCCATGTGGGGCAGACGTTTCAGTGCTGAGGCCCGTACAGGAGTATTTGAATGCAGAGCTCACTTTAAACCGTCCTATGGCAGGTCGGGTCACTGTCTGCGTCTTATGTCCTCAGGCCGCCGCTCAGTGCTACATTGATCTGATCATTAAGGAGAGCGACAACAATGTCAAACTTATCGTTTTGGATCGTCTGGTGGAACTGAAGGACCATCCTTCCCATGAGCGTGTCCTGCAGGTAGCTGCCTGTGTTCTGTAGTTGTATTTCGAGCATTCCGCAGATGGGCGATAATGTGTGTGCTGAGTATTCAGACCGTTTCCTCTCTCTCAGGATCTGGTGATGGACATCTTGAGGGTCCTCACCACGCCAGATCTGGAGGTTCGCAAGAAAACTCTACAGCTGGCCCTGGATTTGGTTTCCTCCCGGAATGTGGAAGAGGTAAGACCCTCCATCATCTGTGTGTAAGTCTCTGGACCATCTGATCATGGGGGGCCGGAGATCTCACAGTTATCCTGGACTGTCTGATTCTGGGGGGCCGGAGGTCTCGCAGTTGTCCCGGACCGTCTGATCTTGGGGGGCGGAGATCTCACAGTTATCCTGGACCGTCTGATCTTGGGGGGACGGAGGTCTCACAGTTGTCCCGGACTGTCTGATTCTGGGGGGCCGGAGGTCTCACAGTTGTCCCGGACCGTCTGATTCGGGGGGGCCGGAGGTCTCACAGTTGTCCCGGACCGTCTGATCCTGGGGGGGCCGGAGGTCTCACAGTTGTCCCGGACCGTCTGATCCTGGGGGCCGGAGGTCTAACAGTTATCCCGGACCCTCTGATTCTGGGGGGCCGGAGGTCTCACAGTTGTCCTGGACCGTCTGATTCTGGGGGGCCGGAGGTCTCACAGTTGTCCCGGACCGTCTGATTCTGGGGGGCCGGAGGTCTCACAGTTGTCCCGGACCGTCTGATCCTGGGGGGCGGAGGTCTCACAGTTGTCCCGGACCGTCTGATCTTGGGGGGGCCGGAGGTCTCACAGTTGTCCCGTTCTCTTCGTAGCTGGTGATCGTCCTGAAGAAGGAAGTCATAAAGACAAACAACGTGACGGAACATGAAGACACAGACAAGTTTCGTCAGCTTCTCGTGCGCACTCTCCATTCCTGCAGCGTCCGATTCCCGGATATGGCCGCCAATGTTATCCCGGTGGTATGTAGCTTCGTTCCTGGGTCTGTACAGGGATGATGTCATTCGTCTTTGTGTGTACCGAGCCAACAATGTTCAAGAGTTTTTGGGTCTGATGATGATATAAATAAATTGCTGAAATGAACCCTTTTATAATAGACACCCAGTGACATGGCCGCCAAGTGTTTACCATGTGCCTTGTAGAGCTGAGTTCCTGGGATCACCTCGCACTATCGTGTCACAGGTCATGTGACTAATCTCTCTTCCTCCCGGCACTTATTTCCCATTCTTAAGGTGAACGTGGCTTCCCTGGGATCCCTTCCCTGGCCAGTGTAAGAGCCGAGCCAGACAAGGGATCCCAGTGGTAGGATTGCTTTGTAGCACCCAGCAGGGTATTGGAATCCTCACCTGTTTTGCATGTGTTGCTCTCTTGCTGGATAACACCATTTCTGTCAGCGAGGGAATGACGCATGCACGGTAAAACTGCTGCCTTATAACAGGGCCCGGGGACTTCTCCAGGTATTGGTGAGAGTACTGCACAAAAATATAAAACACGGGGATACTGCCCCTCCCTTGTGTCCATGCATCTGTATGGCCATGGCGGGGATACTGACCCTCCATTGTGTCCATGCATCTATATAACCATGAAGGGGATACTGCCCCATCCCTTGTCTCCATGCATCTATATGGCCATGGTGGGACTACTGACCCTCCCTTGTGTCCATGCATCTATATAACCATGGTGGGGATACTGACCCTCCCTTGTGTCCATGGATCTATATAACCATGGCGGGGATACTGACCCTCCCTTGTGTCCATGCATCTATATAACCATGGCGGGGATACTGACCCTCCATTGTGTACATGCATCTATATGACCATGGAGGGGATACTGACCCTCCCTTGTGTCCGTGCATCTATATAACCATGGCGGGGATACTGACCCTCCCTTGTGTCCATGCATCTATATAACCATGGCGGGGATACTGACCCTCCCTTGTGTCCATGGATCTATATAACCATGGCGGGGATACTGACCCTCCCTTGTGCCCATGGATCTATATAACCATGGCGGGGATACTGACCCTCCCTTGTGTCCGTGTATCTGTATGAACGTTGTTGGAATTTCCGAAGTAATGTTCTCCTCCTCCCGTATTTTTCAGCTGATGGAATTCCTGAGTGACAGTAATGAGGCCGCAGCCGCCGATGTCCTGGAGTTTGTGCGCGAGGCCGTACAGCGATTCGATAATTTACGAACACTAATTGTAGAGAAAATGCTGGAGGTTTTCCACGCCATAAAGTCAGTGAAGTAAGTGATAAGTCGGCGATGGAGGAGGATGGGCCGATTGTGTCCTCACACTATGAAACGTCATTGTGAGCTTTATTATTATCCCCGAATACCGCGATGGGTTCCTGGATGCTTCATCCGTTACACTGACACTAAACCCCGGAGATAAATTCATCCGAGTCCCTGAACTCTGAGCAACAATGTATCTTATTTGTGTATCACTCGGCTGGAGATCCTCCAATCATCTCTGACACTGTCCTTCCTTCTGGAGGGGGGGCTACGTCTGTTCCCCATGGTCCCTGTGTGTGTTGTAGAGTAGTCACCGCTCCAAGCTCCGCCCCCCCGGAATGGACTACAATCTCAGGTTTAGTTTACTGATTTTGTATTGAGATTGTAGTCCATCCAGGGGGCGGAGCTTGGAGCGGTGACTACTCTACAACACACACAGGGACCATGGGGAACAGACGTAGCCCCGCTCCAGAAGGTATACAACCGAATAGCGTCACCCCACCAGATGACTCTTTCAGTCATTCCCCACCTACAAAGTAACAATGTAACAGAATTAAATTCCGCAGAGAGGAGAAATGATGGTGAATTATGTTTCAGGATTTATCGCGGAGCGCTCTGGATTCTGGGAGAATATTGCAGCACGAAGGAGGACATCCAGAGTGTGATGACGGAAGTGCGCAGGTCTCTGGGAGAGGTGGGTATCGTCGGAACGTTTCCTTTCCCCCTTGGCACATGCGCGGACCTCATAACACGCGGTGTGCGTCTTGTTCGCAGGTTCCAATCGTGGAGACCGAGATAAAGAAGGAATCCGGGGAGACGAAACAGGAGGAGGAGGTGACGGTCGGCTCCTCCCAGAGGCTGGTGACCGAAATGGGCACGTATGCTACGCAGAGCGCTCTGAGCAGCTCCAGGCCCGCAAAGAAGGAAGAGGAAAGGTCAGTTGCTGGTTCCTGGATATCGGCCGCTCTGCCTTTTGTACACTTGACTGTTAGGCCCCATTCACACTGAGCGATTCGCAAATTGCACGTTTGCATTTTGCGCGATATGGCGCAAATGGTTGCATTGAGCAACCTAGAATGGCGACAAAATCAGCTCCAAAAGGGGTCCTGCTGTAGCGACGCGCAACCAGCGACGGACAGAGCCCCATTGACATGCATTAGACAGCGATATCGCGCAGTGTGAATGGGGCCTTAGCGCTCGGTCACACTAGATGCAGTGCGTTCCTGCCCGATTTCGGCCGCAACGCACTGCCTCGCATTGCGGCCGGCTCACTTTTTAGTGGGGTAGGAGAGGGCGCGGCGGGCCATTCAAGTGAATGGCGCCGTAGCCACGCCCTCCGGCCGCAATGTGACCCGCATTGTGCCTGCGGTCCGAATCCGTGCGGTGCGTTTAAAATGCTACAAGCACTATTTTGATGGCATCGCACAGGGTCGGACCGCAGGCACAATGTGCCTTGCGATCCCAATGCGGAGGATCGCATTGCGGCCGGAGGGCGTGGCTACGGCGACATTCACTTGAATGGCCCGCCACGCCCCCTCCTGCCCCACTAAAAAGTGAGCCGGCCGCAATGCTAGGCAGTGCGTTGCGGCCGAAATCGTCCCGGAACGCACTGCATCTAGTGTGACCGAGCCCTTAGTGTATCTCCAGGCAAAAAAACAAACGCATTCCGTAATCTCTGTAATACCGGCGCGTTTCACCGTGTCTTGTCCCTTGCAAAATGCTGCAGAAAAGTGCCTATTTATCCTGCCTGAAATCCAGAGGGTTCCTAACTTCCTGTAGTGTGCTGGCAACACTGTCCCTCTGCTGCATTGAGATCCTAAGCCGTGTTCTCCCCTGCTGAACTTTTTAAAACCCCCCTTCTCAGCTCAAGGAGGTGGTGTACTGTAGTCCATCAAAGGAAAGCTCAAGCAGGGACGGCAACACTGCTTTGGGATTTCGGTGCCGCAGAGGCAGTGTTGTCGGCTCACTGCAGGAAGTTAGGAGCTCGCTGCGTTGCCGCATTGGGTTGGTGCGAATGGGCCCTAAATTGCTCCCCGCTCTCTCCTGCAGGCCGCCTCTCAGAGGATTTCTATTGGACGGAGACTTCTTTGTTGCTGCTTCTCTCGCCACTACCCTTACAAAGATTGCACTGCGCTATGTGGCCCTTGTGCCCGAGAAGAAGAGGCAGAATGTAAGTACACGCCGGTCCCCTCCTCCACACAGTACACGCCGGTCCCCTCCTCCACACAGTACACGCCGGGCCCCTCCTCCACACAGCACACCCCGGATCCCCTCCTCCACACAGTACACCCCGGGTCCCCTCCTCCACACAGTACACCCCGGGTCCCCTCCTCCACACAGTACACCCCGGGTCCCCTCCTCCACACAGTACACCCCGGGTCCCCTCCTCCACACAGTACACCCCGGGTCCCCTCCTCCACACAGTACACCCCGGGATACATTGTAGGAGGGGATATGACGGACACGCGTTACATTGTAGGAGGGGGATATGACGGTCCGGGCACGTGTTACATTGTAGGAGGGGATATGACGGACACGCGTTACATTGTAGGAGGGGATATGACGGACACGCGTTACATTGTAGGAGGGGATATGACGGACACGCGTTACATTGTAGGAGGGGATATGACGGACACGCGTTACATTGTAGGAGGGGATATGACGGACACGCGTTACATTGTAGGACGATATATGAAGATCGGAGTGTATGGAGCTTTGTATGTTGCGCTCGGTAACGTTGCGTCTCTCTCCCGCAGTCCTTCGTAGCGGAGGCCATGCTGCTGATGGCAACCATCTTGCACCTGGGGAAATCCTCCTTACCCAAGAAGCAAATCACAGACGACGACGTGGACCGGATCTCTCTGTGCCTGAAAGTTCTTTCTGAATGTTCCCCGCTGATGAGCGAGATCTTCAACACGGAATGCCGCATGTCCCTCTCACACATGTTATCAGCCAAGCTGGAGGAGGAGAAGCTCTCCCAGAAGGTGACGCTACCAGTAATCGTACGATAGGGACACGCCTCCTAATCCCGCTCACAGATTTCAAGACGAGTTGTGGTAACATTGTTGTCTCATGTAGTCGTGTTTCACGTCCCACAGAAGGAATCGGAGAAGCGCAATGTGACGGTTCAGGCCGACGATCCGATCTCCTTCATGCAGCTCACCGCCAAGAGCGAGATTGCGTCCAAGGAGGATCAGTTCCAGCTCAGTCTGCTGGCCGCTATGGGGACCACCCAGAGGAAGGAGGCGGCCGACCCTCTGGCATCCAAACTTAATAAAGTAAGAGACCCCCGTCACCGTGCCCATAACGGGTCAGACTGAGGAATGAAGACTGACCGATGCCTTAGGGTTAGAACCAGCTGTGCCCGCCCCCTCCCCCGTCCCTTCCGCCAGTCAGCGCTGGGGGCTCGGAGGGGGGAATCCCTGCAGGAAGCCGTGAGTGACAGTCAGCGCTCACGCGATGGAGTTCTTCCTGTGTGCTGTGCGTTTCCACCTCTTGTGTGTCACTATGCTCAGCTGCTGTTTGTTGCGTCCGGTACGATGCACATCGCAGCATTGGCACCCCCGCAGATCGGCGAAGGACCGCACGGCAGAGGCACCTGGTCTATCTTTACACATGTGTGCTCTGCGTATGATCGCCCGGGTCGCGGTGGGGGTGGGGCAAATGGAGACTTGGTGTTACAGGAGGACGCTGGAAACGTTTATCTCTTCTCTTCCAGGTGACGCAGCTAACTGGCTTCTCGGATCCTGTGTACGCGGAGGCATACGTACACGTTAACCAGTACGACATTGTCCTGGATGTGCTAGTCGTCAACCAGACCAATGACACCCTACAGAATTGTACACTGGAGCTCGCTACCCTAGGTGAGAATGCCAATGAGGGGCTGAGGCGGGCTGTAGGCGGTGGGTCTTAGCCGCTGCAGGTCGGAGGGGCCTGGGGGGGTCTGGCTGCTGCAGGTCGGAGGGGCCGGGGGTCTGGCTGCTGCAGGTCGGAGGGGCTGGGGACTGTTGTAGTTACTCTGTGCTGACAGCAGGTGGCGGTGGCGTCCTGTGCTCACTTTACAGATCCCACCGTCACCTGTGTAGTGGGGCTAGACGACGAATCCTGACACCTGATTGGTTGTTGTGGAGTTTCCCGGACCCCCAATAAATGGATGATCTGATCTTCTATTTCCAGGTGACCTGAAGCTGGTGGAGAAGCCGTCTCCTCTGACTCTCGCTCCGCACGACTTCGCCAACATCAAGGCCAACGTGAAAGTCGCCTCCACAGAGAACGGCATCATCTTCGGGAACATCGGTCAGTCTGAGCTCTGCTGTAGATGATGCACATTGATTGCTGTGTATTGGGGTATCAGTGCAGCCAGGGGCCCCACTAAGGGAGACCCAGCACCAGAACACTGCATTGTGTGCGACAGCCAGGCGCGGGCGGAAAAGTTGGATTTTAGCTCCGGAGCCGCGCTCTCCTGGCGGTCACATCTTATGATGCTTTGGGGACTC